TCAAAATGATCTAAAAAAACGGGTTCCTTGTCCAACTGTTAGTTGTACCCTTACACAAACTGAATGTGTTACTCCAACGCCTACATGTGGTATAACACCGCAACAATACAACCACTGCTAATTGCTCACCCACGCCTACTCCTAATCTTAATTGCACTCAAAATGATCTAAAAAAACGGGTTCCTTGTCCAACTGTTAGTTGTACCCTTACACAAACTGAATGTGTTACTCCAATGCCCACATGTGCACCCTTGAGCGCACCATGTAATAATAGTCAGCCGGAATTATGCTGTACTGGGTTGTGTTCTCCGTTCCCTCGTGATCGCGCTCCTGGAATTGGATGCTGTAATCCTAGAGGTCAACCATGTCCTTTTGAATCACCACAAGTATGCTGTGGGGGTATCTGTTCATGTGTATCGGGTAACTGCAATTGTTTTTTTAAAAATTTAATATGAATATTGATATTTTACTATTAAAAATCCTGTTCAACTTATTTTATTTTGTAAAGGTTTTTTAATAAATTCGAAAACTTTTTTTTTAATAAATATAATAAATTATTTTTACGGAAGGACGAATTAACAATAGGTTTACAAGTTCGTCTTCACTTGAAAATAGAGAAATTATATAATATATAAATGATTATAAAACATATACTCAATTTGGACTGGTCACTTCTTTATTATAACAAAAGGCTGTAAAAAAAAATGAAATGAGTGCCACAAGGGAAAATGAAACTTCGTGTATTTAAGTTTATAAATTATCGGACTTAGTCCTCCAAAAAATATAATTAATGGTATATAGGCTAAGTCCTATAAGTTATAAACTTAAATTCATGAAATCTTATTTTCCCTTGGCGACACTTAAATAAACTTTGGATTCATATAATTGTATAATTGGTATTAATTGTTTTAACAAGTTCTTTATAGGTTTATCTTAGAGATAATGCTATAATTATATCTTTAACTGGCAAGATTAGACAATGATTAGACCCAATACATAAAATTTCAGGGTGATATAAATGCTTTTTTGCCGGCAATTTTCTTTTAATTTAAGGTTCAAATATAACTGCCGACGAAATTTGTCTATGTAATTTTCTGCCCGTTATTCAAGTTCTATTTATTTAAAATATTTATGACAAAGTGCACGAAAAAATGATTTGCTATTAATAGTTTTTGAAATAAAATCTTGTTACCACCAGCACAAAATAACACTACCCATCCCATCCCAACTCCGAAACCACAATCCAAAATCCCAATTTTTTTAGTTTTTGAATTTGTTAGGAACATTTATAAGCAGTTACTTGGCCAGTATTACCATTTATTAATGTATATATTGGAATTTAAAAATTATGCAATTGAGGATCTGCTGAAATTTTAACTATAAATTTCTTAATTGTTTCATTAAAACCAATAAATTGAACAAAGCAATTTACTCTGAGAGCCGAGTATAAACTTTAATTGCTGATTCAAATTTTGGGTCTTTAAATTCGTTGTTAAAGAAATAATTATAAAAGTGGCTATTTTATCATGACAATCAATATTTTCTAATATTATCAGGTTTCAACAAGTAAAATATAATGCAGACAGTTATTCCTTTCATATAAACTAATCGGTAAATTAAATTAATCATAACAATTTGATCTAAAATTGAATCTATAAATTATAGTTTTTTAAAAAAATTTAATTTTTTTTAGGTATTTTAATGTCATTTCAACATGATTGCAAAGAAATCTAATCAAGTTCTGGCATTGAGAAAATTTTCTATTTTATCTAGTTTGATTGTTGAAAAATCCGTATAATGCAATTTAAGCTCTTTTAAGGAATTCTCAACATATTTAACGCTGGAAAAATTTCAATAAATTTATGAACAATTCTAATCACTATTCTGGATGTTTTCACTAAAATATCATCCCGGTTATACAATCTGCATATCAATCAATGATATTGCAAGATCGATTTTTTTTTTAATATTAAAGGTGAGGTCTTGCTCATATCTTTATTGAGTAATTTATATAAGAAGCTACATAGTAAACTATATACAACTTAATTTGTACTAATACAAATACATATAAATTACATGCAAGTTAAGAGCTCAGATTAATAAAAAATTTATCTGTGACCTAAACCTACTAGAGTGGTCAAGACTCACCTAGCTTTTCAAGGTTAGTATAGAATTAATGGGTTTACTGGAAGAAACTCATGTAGAGCTCTAGCTATTAAACTTTTTTGTAGCTAGCCTAACTGGTGGTATGTATCATTTTCTTTATGATGTTGGTCTGGTTGTCCACAATGGCAGCTATAAGTATATGTTTTTCTGTTTCATTTCAAAGTTGGTTGCTTTTATTAGAAGGAGATTTGCCTGTAGATCTTGTAGATACTTTGTGCTGTTTTTTCCATAAGGCTAGCTTGGCAGCATATGGTTTTCATATTTGCTCATAGATGCCATCTGTTATGTGTAGTAGGATTTTTATTATTGTTTGGGATGCTTCTTTATATGATACCTTCTCAGATTGAAGAGCTTGTATTAGTGGAACTGGGATAAGGCCCTGTAAAGTCATATTGAAATAAAAGTTATTGGTAGGCTAAGAGGAATTTAATGTGGGATGTGAGTAGCATATGTTGGTCAGAGTATTGTATGTGTTTTACGGAGTACTTCAGGTATAGATGAAAGTATTATATGGTTGAAAGTATTAGGTTGTAAGCATGTAAGCCAATGTGTATCTGGGTTGTTATAGTTAAAACAGTTGGGGGGAGTGAAAGTGTTTGTATGAGGTTGCATAAAAGTGATAGTAGATAGAAAAATATGTTAAAAGTATTTTTATTTTAAATGCTTTTGCATAGTTGAGTTTAAGACTAGTATAGCTATATAAGGCTTTTTGGTTGTTTTTGAGATATAGCCAAGTAGCTTGCTAGTCTATTTTGTCTATGAAGTCTACCCATTTCATGTTATGTTTTTGTGAAGACTACATGAATATAATTTGTATTCTATATACAGTGCGGGACACCTAAAGGCTTTACAAACTTTAAAAGCTAATAATATTTAATATAAAAACAATATCACAAAAAATAGGCTCCTATTTTGTAGTTTAGCTA